GAATAGTAAAACAAGTTTATTTTAACCAATTCGCCAGATCTTCTCCTAAATAAACAGCAAAACTGAGCTGAAAATGTTTTCATTCCATTATGTACCACAAAGTGACACCAAAATAATACCAAGAATATAGCCAGTGGGATGTTTTTAGGGTTTGTCAAAGATATGTACATACATACATATATACAAAAGAAAACCACCAAACTAAAGACATTTGAGAGATAAAAGGAACACTCGAAAGAGTGTCAAAAAAGTCACCCAAATGGGGTTATACTCTTATTTAAAGGCAATTAATATTAAAGAATACTCTGCTCACATATGTATGTATGTACATATATCTTATTAGTTTTGCGAGTGAAAATGTTTGCATGTTTTCTTTTCATTACGAGAGAATTCCATCAAAATGTTTCCGAGAAGAAAACATTTATTGGTAATGATATATGCCAAAGGATTATAAACACATTAGACATATAAGACCTTAAAGATATCTTCTGCATGTAGTTGATGATGATAGAATAATCAAAATCTTTTTTTAATCTTTGTGGTTATATTTAAACAACGTTATTATCAAGGCATTTTCTAAATTCAAATGACTTAAATCTAGCTTCAAAAGCAAACAAGACCGAGTTGAAAATGCTTTTCATGTTTTTTTTTCATTATCTGGCGCCTCGAATCGATTTGTTTGCAACGAGCCCATACGGAGATTCAGAGACCCTAACCCACAACCCAATCCAAACCCCAACCAAACTTTATCCAAATTCCATCGACGCCTCATCCAAAAACAAAACCCACGCCAAAAATTCAACCCAAAACGCCATCCAAAAACCCGAGTCACTCAGGATACCCTTACCTCAAACACGACCGCAATCAACGGGGAAATGTGGCCGCCAGCAGCCGACAGATTGGTTAGCCGCATTTATCGCGACAAAGTTTTTCGGGCAGCCTCACAATTTAAATTGAAATTAGTGAAAGAGCAAACAAATAATCCCTGGGAAACTAAATTCTGGCATTCATTGAGTGGCAGAGAAATAAAACAAAAACGTTCTCTGGGTAGCTAGCGATTAGCAAAAAAAAAAAAAAGGAAAAGCCTTGGGGACAGGATTAGACAGCCGTAAGATAAAAACACTCAACACAAAAGAAAACCCATGAAGGCAGAGTGAGCGTTGGGGCTGGCTACATATGTTTGTATGCAACCAGGACAACCACATAATTGAGTTATTACACTCACTGACAACACTGCCCAGGGCGCATATAAATTTATCCCCGGAACAACAAAATAAACTAACAGAAAAATGAGGAAACCAGAGAACCAAAAAAAGAAAGCAGTAAAGAACGCAGAAGAGGGAGGCAATGCATGACAATTTATGGATTCTCGGAAGGGCAGATCAAGTCGCCATATCCATGAGCTACACCAGCAGAAGGAAGGTGAAATGTATAAAGAAGAAACAAGACAGTTTAATCTGTTTGGGGAGAACAAACAACTACGAGTATGCAAAAGGGAGAAATGAAATTTGTTGTATACAAGGGAGAGCTTTATGGCCCCATCTTGAGGCACTTTAAAGATCTTTGTCGCAAGAGACCCCACACGACATGTGTGTAGGGTCCACAACAGCCGTTCATAACCGAAAGCATATGATAAATAAAGCCGAAGCCCTGAAAAGCAGACAAGCAGAGACGCAGACACCTAACAGACCCTTGATAAATGTGGCTGAGGGTTTGTTTGTATGTCCTAAGTGCCAGCCATCCAACCATTCTATCTGGAGAATCCACATACACTCCTTCGCTGCCACATTGTTAGTTTGGTGAAGATGTCAACGCCGGTGCTGGTGCTGCTGTTTGAGCGCAGACCAGATCCGGCCCTGGCTCGACCTCAAGCCTGTCATGGCCCAATGCATATGTATGCGTATTAAAGATGCTTCGGATACACACACGCTCGCACGCTCGCACGCTCACACACTCACTCACACTAACTGCCGCTTGTGCTGTGTCAATATGTATGTAAATAAGCGGCAAAACAAGTGGTTATAAATTTACAAGGATGATGAAGGCAGGCGGCATTGCGTATACGCACCATCGACGCCAAAAGCCGTCAACCAAAAATAAAGAAATAAGCAAATTGAAGGCCGAAACTTTGGATACCCTCGTTAATTATCCTGGCTTTAATAGCTATAGAATATAGGCAAAACGATTTTCGTAGATTGCATAAAAATAAATATCCGCTCAATGCTGATCAGGGGATAAATTTTTGATAGGTTAGAGTTCTGCAATACAAACATCTCATGCAAATAATAATACCCTCGCTTACAGTGTAAAATATGGCCATATACACATAACCATAACTTCCCTATCTCTATGTTTGTGTATACCTTAATAATAATGCCCTTAAGAAAGGGCGAGCTGGGCTAAAACTCAATAACAAAATGAAAATAGGCAACATCCCTCACTGACACAGAGACAGAGACTGAGAGATAGAGAAAGAGAGATAGAGAATGAGAATGAAAATAAAATAGAATAAACACAAAGCACAAGATGAGAGGAGAGTGCCAAGAACTGATGAGGCGTGCAAAAGAGAAAAATGTCACAGCACCCAAGATCTATCAGCCACAATACGAAATAAAGCTTTTCTTCCAGCGAAGCTACCAGCATTTACCCAGCAAGCCCCACTCACAATTTTATGGTTCGCATCCTTGAAAGTTTTTAATATGTTTATTTATATAAACGCCGGAGCACAGCGACCACCGTTCGCCCGTCAATGTTGTTTATCACAGCAATGGTTGTTATACAGCCCCACCCTACTCCTACCCAACCAATACGCAGTCCTTACGCAGTGTACTACCCTGCTCTGTAGCATCCCAGCAAGCGCTGCTAACCCAGTGCTGTCCACTGCAATTTTGCTGCTTTATTACGCTGCTCATAGAATGCCATAAAATTAAAAGCAATTTTGTCGTTGCAAATACTTGTACTTTAACTTTCGTTCGTTAGGGTAAAAAGGTTTTTCATTTTGCTTCGGATTGCATTTACCGTCGAACACAATGGAAAGGGATAAGAGGTTGAAAGGTCAAGTTGTGGGTGGAATTATCCTGTGGTTTTCCTTCGTTGGAGAATGTTTTGAGAGCACTTTTTCAATTGCTAATTTGAGTTGAATTAAATATAATTGAATTTCCTTTAAATACATAAATAAATAAATAAATACATTTAACAAAGCACCAAATTATTTATTTATATTAATTAAAAATTAAATCAAACTTAATTTGGATATTTATTTTCCCACAAAATTTCAATATTGTCTGTTCACAAAAGTTTTCTTTATTCGAGAGCCCTCCCATTTTCATTTAGTCCTCCATTTAGATAGGTCCCCAGTCTGCTGCTTTACTATACGGCGAGCCCAATCCATCATTAATAAAAGGCAGTTGGGAGGCCAACATGTGTGTGTGTCTGGCCCCGTGCCGTGGCCCAATTTTAACCTTCACACTTTTGACAATTGCCCTCTAGCAGCCATATCTTGGGGCATTGTCATTGTATGGCAATTTACGTTACCAACGACAACTGGAAATCTGTTTTTTTGGTAGGGGGCAGCAGAATTATTTATTTTGGCCCATTGACAACAAAGCAGGAGCATCAATCATTTCCGGGCAATCGAATGACAATGCCCACAGGGCATAAAGCTGTTGTGTGCCACAATATTTTTTAATATCTAAATGAAAGTTTAGACTGTCATGTTGATGAATTGATATATTGCCGCACGAATGCGTTACGCAGGTAATCAAGCATAAGAATTGGCAGTGATTCAGGTGAGAGAGCTAGAGCTCCAGGCATCCAGGAATAGAAGAGAGAATGGAATGAACTTTACACTTTAAACGTGTTTCTAGTGGGTGGTGAGAGTGTGGGTGATTGGTTAGGTGGTTTCCGCTTCCTCAATTGGGTGGCTGCTTCCCCCTTTCCTTGGAGTGGCTTTGGCGAAATGAGGGCTACGCACTGGGAAAAGCAAAGCCAAAAAGAGTTTTGGCCTTCGGTCTACTTCCAATCCCTCAATGAACTCAATGTTATTTTGAGGCCGAAAAAACTCAATGAAATTCTAGGACCAATGCCTCAATGAAATTCTATATGTGGAAGACGATATGTAAACCTACAAAATATTTATTTAGGCACAATCAATTTTATGGCAATACGGTTTTTATGGCCCAGAGACAGGCCTACAAAAGAATTTGCGCCCTGAATTATGCAGAGCTTGGAAGTGGCTCTCTCTCTCTCTCTCGCTCTCGTAGGTTAAACACATACATGTATGCATAGGCTGTGTGGGTGTATGAAGTTGCTATATGCTCGTGTGTGGGTGAATGCTTAAGCGTGCATGAAAATGCTGCCAACAGTACAAACGTCAACGGAAGCGCGTGCGTGACAGACTGTGTGAGTGTCTAGCCCCTGTATATACGTGTGTGTGTATAGCTATATCCGTATCCTGTCTGGCTGTATAGTCTTGTATGTGTATGGGTGTGGATGTTCGTGTGCCAGCGGAACTTTTAAACTAATTTGAAATTTTAATTTAATTAATTTGTGTGCACATTTTTTAATGGAAATGTGTGTGTGTGTGTGTGTGTGTGTGTGTGTGTGTGTGGAGGCGAGATGGCGAAGTCCCTGAACCCGGATATAGATGCTTGTGATGAAAAACTCTCAATAAATCAAGGCGTCAGGTGTGTGAATCTTAAATTATATGGAGCAAATGCTGTTGTCATCAAACAAATTGGAAATGACGGCACAAAAAAGTGGGATAAAGCTAAATGATTAAAGGTAGAGAAAGGCATCAGTATGAAGGGTAGACTACTTCTGTCCCTTTGTTTGCTCTCCAGTATGCCCTATTATGCCTGTATTATGCTTTTGCAATGTCCTTGTTGTTCAGTTCTCCTGAATCTCCTACTATCCACCACTTGAAAACAGCAACTAAAATCTTTTCAACTGAAAACTTTTAATGAGAAATGCAAATTTTTCCCCCTCTTTTCCATTTTTAGGCAGGCTGCAATTTGCCAACAAATAGAATCACAATTATGGGAAATTCGAACCAAACTACGTCAACGTTCATTAACAACCAAAGCTCAGTAAACACCAACAACAACAGGAAGTACAACAACTACAACATCAAAATGTAAAGGGCCCTGAGAGTGGACTTTAAAGAAGGGCCCGCTCAGCTTTTGCTTGGAAGTGGGCTAAAAAAAGTAGAAGGCAAGGCAGCACCAGGAAACCAAGCATCACAATTGCAACAACTACTCGGAGGACAAAAGCAATACATTCAACAGAAACAGCAACGGAAAAACCGCCAACAAGCAAACAAAAAAACCTTCAACAACAAGAAGAACGAACCGCCAGAAACCACAGAAAAATACGCAACATAAATGAAGTTAACAATCTGTCAAATTGCTAAATTATTTCTGCTGTTGACAGCCTTCTTCTTTCTCAATTCCCCCCATAGTGTTGCCACTACCACAACCAACTCCTACATCAGTTCCTCCTCCTCCTCATCTTATACCACTTCCAGATCCATCTCTCAGCCAGCCAACATTTCGGTGTCCTCATTGGGTGTCCTTGTCCTGCAAACGGCCAAGAAAGCAAGTGAATCTGGTGCAGCATCAACAGCTGTGGCTACGTGGACTTCCGCTACGACAGCAGCAACAGCAACAGCCGCAGCTGCAGCAGAAACAGCAACAACACTTAGCAGCAATTCAATTTGGAAACCAGCAACAGCCACAGAAGCAACATCATTCAGAAGGAACCCACGTAATGCGCGTGAAGCTGAACGTCAGAGACGTCAAAATCAACAGGACACAGAGCAACAGCAGAAAGAGCAACAGAAGCGACAGCAACATCCAGATAAGGGGCAAGAAGAGCAGCAACATTATCATCAGCAACAGCAGCGAAAGGTGCAACAAGAGGAGAAGAGACAGCAACAATTGCAACAGAACTTGCAACATCAGAAGCAAAAACGTCAAAGAAGACAGCAGAAACCACACCAAAAAGCAATCCCCAAAGCCCAACGGGTGGGCGTTTTAATACCCCCATCATTGCACACGGATATGATGCATGTGCAACAGGGTTTCCACAATTTTCTCGACTTTTTCCAACTGCACTTGTCTAATGTCAGCGTCGATTTTCTACGTGATGTGGGTGAGTACAAAAACAAACAACAACAAAAACACCCGAAAACACAACAAAAATCGACCAAAAACCAACATCATCAGGCAACATCAAAAGCCTGTGTCTGGTACACATTTTGTTGGCTGTAAACCCCTGATGGAAATCCCTGCCAACATGCATTTACACATCGTGTTTTATCGATGATTTGTGTTTGTCAGCTCAAGTTTCCCTTCCAGGCAGCAAACAAAAAAAAAAATAGGAAGGTCCACAACATGGTTGAGGGTTTTTGGCCCATTTATGAAGATGAATTGGCAGCTTGTTTGCTTGGGGCAAATGTTTGGCCAAGGCAGCAGAGTGGAAGCCATCGGAGAACTTTTCTAATTGAGTGGGAAAATACTCGTACAAATCAAGCGATAGGAATTAAAGATCAAGCTGGCCGAAAATGGGGATAACAGGGGATTAGCCCGAGCATTGTAAGAATATTAAAGGAATGACTACAAAAAAGATGAAAGCTAAAATTTACAGCATCTTTCGAAGGGAAAGCCTTTCGCCTTTCTGTTAGCTTAAGCTTTCTGCAAACTCAATTTGCATGCATTATGGCTGACTTCCCTTTCCGCTTTTCGCGCTTTTTCTGCTCCCTGTATAAATATTCCACGCTTTTTTCCGCCCATCAATTTAAACTAATTTAAGCACGTCCTTTCTTTGAGCCTGGACTGTGCAATAGTCTTGACTTTTTTATAGTTTCCAGGGCTACTACTTACAACTTTAATTATAGTTCCTTCAATTAGGAAGCAAAAGGAAAACTTTCTTCCCTTTCTGCCACTTGCTTGCCCCCTTCGATTCGTATCATAAATATTTTCGCAGCCCCTGCCTGTGACAACTCACAATTTCCGCACTCGAAGTTTGTTGAGAACTGTTCAGGCTGTGGCTGTGGCTTGGGCTGTGGCTGACTTACTATTTTATTAAAGCCAGGCAAAAGAAATCCTTGGCTTTGAGAGCCCCCCAGGCATTCACAGCTCAAGTGTTTTATGATAGTTTTTCACTCCTGCCCGAAGGGAGAAGCCAATGGCTAAGTAAGAGCCAAGAGAACTTGGCAGTCTAGAGAGAGGGAGAGAGAGAGACGGAGAGAGAAAAAAAGAAAGGAACAGAAAATTTAAAAGGGGAGATTTGTTCAGAGGATTAGCGGCTGTCATTGCTTGGATATCAATTACGAGAATAATTGCACAACATGTCGTATGTGCAATGCTTTCAATTCAATTGGAATGGACTTGTGTAAGCAGCATCCAAGTCCAATCAATCCCCGGCCATTGTATGGTCTCTTACAAAACATATATTATGCAACTATTTCTCAGAACCAGACCCGGTCGGGTATCCTTTTAATTTCGTCCTGAGGTAGGCAAAAGGATACAATTTATAGATTTTTTTTCCTGTTGGCTTTTGTGCACTTGCCAGCCATAGGGTCTTCTCTCTGGCCCATAAATTGTCACTGGCTGGCAAGCAGAGGCGGAGCAGAAAGGGAAGCCATATGCAACTAGATTCAATTTCAATATTTTGCAAAACATAAAAAACAGCAACAACCAGCTACCATATGTACATTAAGGCAAATGGAATTTATTTGTCGCATCGCATGGGATGGTTTTGGTTTGGTTTGCAAATTGAATTTCTCTGTCAGTTCCCTGGCACTTAAATCAATTTAGATGTACTGCATTCGTTAGAAAGTTTTATCTTTTATTTATGACACCTCAGAGGACAGGAGAGGACAGCACCTCGCATTGAAATTAAAGATATCAAATTTAAACTTTCCGCCACGCACAGAAATTGTTGCAATTGACAGAAACTTTGGCGCCAAAAGTTTGCCATGTGTAGAGGATACTTTCGCGCACCCGTGTTTACTTTCAAAACTAACTAAAAAAGAACGGAAAACTAAGGACTGTGGAAAGAGAACTGAGGACCAAGAAAGCCAAATGAAAGAATAAAACAAATAGCCAGACGGGGGACAGCATAGCACAGGCAACTTTCCAAGACATTCAGTTCCATGTCCTCTGTACCCTGTCTCCAGCTCCCTACAAAGTCTCCGCAAATTAAAAAGGGACTTTCTGCGCTGAGTGAAATAAACTCTGAGCTTATCGCGATCTATGGCCAAATTCATTTAAAGAACTAATCATCAGTGCAAACCTAATTTCGGGTATAAATATTGAGGGTACATAAGTTGAATGAAACTTTTGCCTTTTTCCACGCAAAAGTTTTTAATTTATCACGAACATTATTTACAAGCGAAAGTTGTTAAGCTTTCGGGGATTAGCACAGTATTTTATGTATTTTAGATTACAGATAGTTATATATAGTTTTCATGAGCAGACTTTTACTAGCTGTGGAATTATATATGAAGCATAACGCTCCGACAAGTGCTGTTGCCGTTGCCGTTGCTTCTCCCTTTTCCACTTGAAGCACATCAAGAACATGGCCTAGAGAGCTGGGCTCTATCGCAGGCATTCATAATTCTGTCCACTTGTCGGATACTTGGCCAGTTACTTGCACTGTCAGACGTTAGGCACCCGTTAGCAGGCAATGCCCGCAGAACCTCAAAGAAGAGGAGAGGTACACTTGAGGAGCAACAATTTCTGCTGCTGCTGCTGCTGTGGCAGACAGCACTGAGGACATGACTGTTGCCTTCATCAGCAGTAACAGTTACTACACCGCTTAAGCACACACACACAGAGACTCACTGAGGTCTTGGCTTAAATATGCACAAGTTTTTTATATGCCACATAAAATGTTTCTCTTTTTTTTCGGTCTGCCCTCCACTCTGCCACACACTGCTCTCCACTGATGATGACGATGCCAACGCACAGATTTAAGTGGCTTCATTAAATTACTGGAGCTACCGAAATACACCAGCGTTATAAAGACTTTAAATGCGGGCATTAATGCAGACACCGACGTCGACCTGAACCTGAATCTGATCCTGAACCAAAATGGAAACGATGGGAATAGCTCTGGAAATGTGGACATTGACCCAGCCAAAAGGCAGCTGCCACGTCAGCAACATCAGCAGAAGCCGCAGGAGCAGCAGCATCATCATCAGCAGGAGGCCAATGTGAGTCAGTTGTCAGCAGGAGACTGGAAGGAGAGGAATCATTGGAACGATGCCCGCAGCTTGGGTCACTGTCATCAGCTGGCCGAACAACTGGCACACGATTATAATAAGACCATCGTCCTGTGGCCCTGTCCGCGAATGAAAGTAAGTATGTCCCTTTCTTTAAGACCTTCTTTTTGTCCTGTGTGGAAAAAAGAATGTAATGCAGGTGGTAAGGTAATCATTAAAAGGTTGTGTGTACTTACTGGCATTCATTGGAGCTGTTGATTGAAGAAAGTAATTCAGCACGGTATAAGAATTTACAATGTGCTTAATGGAAATATCAAGGAATCGAGTAGCTTAAAGGAGAAACCAGATATTTAAAAGAATACCAGCAAAAAATATCAAAGGTACTTTAAATTCGTAAAGCTCTGAAATCAATAGAGACTTTCATAAAAGGTTCATTGATCCCCTTATGACTCATTCATGGCTAATTCTCGACCACATCGTTGCTCTTTTCAAGTCCACTTCAATTACCACAAATCCATGTGGAATTCCCGTAGCTAAAACCAAGCATTTGCTGACTTATATAATTGGTTGTAAAAATAGTTGCGGTCTAATGGAAATGTGTACATATTTATTACCTTATGCAGGAGATTATATGTATGCATGTCGTATGTTAATTAAGCAGCAATTGAAAGCAAATAACTACGAAAAAGCCTAGGAAAAGCCACAAGCATTTTGCAGCACAAATTTGCAATTTCGCAACCCAAACCCTGAGGCACAGGAGGGACAGGAGATGAGATGGAAAGAGCCGTGGGATCCATAGAAGCGGGATGGGTTGGGATCCTAGAGACAGAAGACTAGTTGCCAACACAAAACTTCATCAAGTCAAGTCTGTGGTCGGAGGAGGTTGATGGTTGACTGCTGGCAAACAGGAAATGGAAAAACAGGCTACGGCGATGGCCCTGGCCCTGGAAATGTAGAAGAGTTTTTGTGGGAGTGGTGGGGACTATCCGAAATATGCTGGAAAATTGCTTGATGAAAGTCGACGCCAGCATGAAATTACTTTCTGTGGCAAGTGTTGAGCCGAACGGGGCAAAGGTGAAACAAGGCGCAACACTTACCACACCCTCGAAGTGCATGCCAACAAGTGCCCCCAAAGAATATTTTATGAAATTTTCCAAACTCCAGCTGTCACAGAAAAACTTTTTGCCAAGTACTCGTAAAAATTCCTTTCGTTACTTTTGCATATTTTTATGAGGATTTTTTTCCTTTGCCTGACAATTGATTGACAAGTGGAATTTTCTCCGTATTCTGGCCAAAAGTTTGTTAACTTGTTGAGAGTGTCAGCCAAGTTATTAATGAAAATCTTAAAAGCGATGAAATGCACTGACAAACTATGACAAAATGATTGACAAATGAGTTTGCCAGTGCCAGCAGCAGCACCATAGCAACGAGACCCGAGAAATGAGCAATGGCCTTATAATGAACTGCCAGCTTAGGGACTCCAGAGAGGTTATTGCTGCAGAAGATGTATGGACCAAAGAGAGCAAAATGCATATAATTTCCATGCAAATCAGCCAATAATAACGATGCTGATGGAGCAGCAAAAGCCTTCCAGCAGCTACAATATTTCATTCTTATTTTTATGCATGCCAATAGCCATGGCCTGCTGCTGCCGTTTAAAGCTGTTCCAGAGTGCTGTGCTGTGCTGTGCTCCTTCTCCTGAAGAGATTTCTCTGTCTCTCCCATAAAAATGCTGCAGAATCATCAACAAAAATGTTGCCTAGCCAGGCAGCTGTTCGTGTGTCTGTCTATCTGTGCATTTTTATGAGCTGACTAAGGTTGATGGCAGTTGCAAGTTATTATTGGTCTGGAAATGAACAAATGCACATCAAATGCAGAAGCAGCAGCAACATTTGCTGGCAAGTGCTTGGTCAGTTACTAAAAAACGAAAGCATAGTACTCGTAACATATATATAACCCACTCAGGGGAAGCACTAAAAATTCCGTCACAGAGCTCTTCAAACAACTTGTTACAGCCCGCCAGAGCGAAATCTAGCGTCGCAGAAAGCCGCAAACTGCAGCAAAAGCTATAGCCGACTCAACTAAATCCACCTAATGACTCTCCACCTCTCTCCCCCTACCTCTTTCTCTATTTAGGGTATTCCTCTTGTGGCCGCTGAAATTTTGTTGGTGCCCTTATAAGTATGCTATGAAATTTTTTCGCTTGGTTTGCACAAAAAGCTAAAATGGAGACCCTGCTTAAGTTTTTTATGAGTGCCATTTCATGAGTTTTTCCTTTTTTTGGGATGAAATTATTTTGAAAATTAAAACAAATTATGTGATACATTTCGCAAAATTAATGAATTAAATTGAAAGCTACAAAGATTATATGGAATTGCAGCTGGAATATCGCTAATTTGATTCGATTTTCATTTAAAATGAATTAAATTGATAGCCGTAAACCTGTCAAAAAGTCGTGATACCTATGAAACTATAAATTGCCTTAAATGACAACGAAAACCTTAAAGTACTTTAATAACTTTAATGCTAACATTTACCATTATATAAGTAAAACCCATACACAGCTCAGACAACACATGAAAGTAACACCACCCCGGACACGCACACATGTACGGTAGAACATTAAACCGCAGTTGTTGCAGCCACGAGGTCCATGGCTTGCCATATCCCGGCGGACCCCCACAAAACAATGTTGCAGATAAAAGTGTTTTTAATTGACAACAAAGCAAAACCCGAGCAAGACAGGAAGCTTAACTGGTAGCAAGGTGCAGCTGAGATACTCTTATTGGAGAAAAGCACAACCGATTTTCCATCATTTTGGCTATGTGACAAGGCACGAAGTGCCTCATTTCCAGCCACAATTCGGAGATAACTGTAATATCTGACGTTTAAATAAATGAAAGCCTGAAACAGAGAGAGTGAAAAGAAAGATAGAGTGCCGCAAAGTATGTTGCAAGACTCCAAACTGTGCCACAGCAAAAAAAAAATACACCCACATACAAAACATAGACAGAGACAGCAGACCATAAACGACATATTCCGCCATTGAGGAGCGCACCACGGGGGGTGGTCACTGGGGAGTTAACCAGCAACAGTGGGGAGTAGACCATGGACCATGGACCGCCGACCAGCGACCAGCACGGACTGGCAACAAAGTAACAAAACGTGCAATTAAGTGTGATTTTTATGCGCTCTGCAATATTTATGCGCTGCTGTTGCAATGGCACACGCCTACCGCACAGTCGGGTGCCCTGGCACCGATTCCGCCTCTAAATCAGCGACACAAATGCCGCACAAAAGTTGCAATTGATGCGCTTTGTTGGCCGCTCCTTCAGCGGAAGAGTGCGGGAGTGCCGCCAGAGAGTTGCGAAAATTTGCAAACTGCCAGGCGCCTTGGGAATGTACAGAGGGCAGAATGAGAGCGTGATGGGGATGGCTTTCAAGTACAGGCAGGCAGGCAGGAATACCGAATAGCGATAGGAAGTTGCGATTGGAATAGGGAAAAAGGGTCAGCTTAAAGCGTTGACATTGTATAGCAGGGAATTGCGCATACGCCACTTGGGCCAAGCATCTCTGTCGACACTCACCCCGACACTGGGCAGAAACTAATTGAAAATTGTATGCAGCATTGTTGGAAACAGCTAAAAGCTAGCTCTAGACCACTGTACCACTGTGCAAATATGGTGCATGCCGCAGCGGAGCACACATGCACATACACACGAAAACACGCATAGAAGCCCGCATCAAACACATTTCGGGCTTAGTTTTCCATAACGGTCATTGAATCCGAAGAGCCCTGGAAAAGCGCCCCCAAACCGAGCAAAGTTATCCATCCTCTCAGATGTGTGGTTTTTTCTTTTTTCAATACCCTTTTTCAGAGAGAGTTTCATGATTTTGTACCGCTTTCAAGCTGCAAAAAATATATGCTAAATATATTATTCATCGGCATCAAAAAGTTTCCCAGATCTGTCATGGAAAGAGTCCATTAATCAAAGGATATCTAATAGTTCGATCCATGAAGTTATCCGCTCGTTTGTTGGCTTTTTTTCATCCATATCAATTTCATGCAATTTACAGCATTTTAAACTTTTGCTGCATTTTGTTAACTTTTGTGGGTTTTTCAACTATTGTTTGAATTGTTGTTGTTTGTTCCGCTCGAATCGCTTAATACGGTAAATTGAGTTTGACCCAGCAGCTTATACACACACACACACACACACCCACACATATTTAAATATTTCTGCTGCTGGTATGTATGTGTGTGTGTATATGCTCCAAGAGACCTTGAATAATTCCCAAGAGAGCAAAGGAGTGGGAAGGGAAGTTGCAAATAGCTTAATGAAGATTAATGTTGCATTTGAATTGAAGGGCAGGATGGAAGTCCCCATTCCCCGCGAGACATTTGAAATCACTCAAAGAAACGCTTGCATTGCCGGCAAAAAACACAATGCATTGCCAATCTGGATCGACTTTGCCATTTATCTAACAATTTGCAATGAACGCAAGCGAAACAAGTCACATGAGAGAAGAAGCAGCAGTACGTAGGAGTCTGTCAAGTCAGAGGACGGAACTGCATTCAAGCGTTTGTCAGTCAGTCAGTCATTCATGGGTGGGAGGAAGTCTCTCTCTCTCTCTCTCTCTCTCTCTCTGCCAGTGTCAGTCACTTGGCAATGCAGTTTTTCATGGTACAAAAGTGTGAGTGGATACCAACACTCCGCATCCGCTGAGCATTTGCCTTACACTCAATCAGTTTGACAATTGACAATCCCATAGCCAGCTTGAGTGCTGCATCCATGATAACGATGACATCCGTTCTGGCTATGCACTGATATGACCATTCGAGAGAGTGGGCTGTGGTCTGGTGGGGTAAGAAACCCTAACAATGGAAGTGTCAATACGATTGGGCAAGGAAATGGAGGAAAAGAGAACGTTATTTTAATAAATAATATGTGGAAAGAGCCTCGAGCTGTTTGGCTTTTGTGGGTTCCGATGATAAACTTTTGCTTGGCTTTTGCTGTGTGATAGATTGTTCAATGGAAATATATATTTCAATGTATATTCATATCATTTTCAAATGTTACATATCGATTTTTTTAGTAATGCTTGCATCTAAAGACCCAGTTTAGATGAGGATT